TACAGAGGTACAGAATGCGTGCTACAGCGGTGCAGCAAAAGCACTACAGCGTCACAACGGTGGTACAGGAGGGCAGCTGGGCGGACGGACGGAGTGGTTGTTGTAGTCGGGTGTCTAGTGCAGGAAATATTCTGATTAGATTAAAAAAGTCTCTTGTGGAAGCAAGCTGATGGTCCCTGTCTAGTACCACCACCACACCTGTCCCATATCTGTATTACCACACACACACCTGCCCCACTACACACACACCTGTTCCATTACACACCTGTCCCATTTCTGCACCACCACCACACACACACACACACCTGTCCCAAATCTGCACTACACACCGGTGCCCAATATGTGCCACCTCTCACATCCACACCACCACACAACCGACCTATTTGCAATCACATTATAATAACTTTCTCCTAATTCAAAGTTAAATATAGAAGAATTAATATACAGAAAGGATGTCAACACTCAGCCACGCTTTGGACCATTCACAGCGAATAGATAGCCTAAATTATTACCGTCCAGATAGCCTAAATTATTACCGTCCACTGGAATAGATACTAGTGCTATCCTACGCTCGAGAGGACGGGCTGGCTATCCGGAGTAGATCAAGGAATGATCAGGCATGGAGGATAGGCTAGAGAATAGTCATGGAAATAGTTACAGACTCGTGGCTGCTCGCCTATATTTTACTAATCTGTCCTGCTGATTAGATCGACTCAAAAATCCGCCACGAGGGACGTAGTTGACGCAATACACGACGATAACGGACCAAAAACTTTGGACGGTACAGGAAGCAAAACGTTGGTAAAGCGATAGTGATAAGCAGGTAGAGAGAGAGAGAGAGAGAGAGAGAGAGAGAGAGAGAGAGAGAGAGAGAGAGAGAGAGAGAGAGAGAGAGAGAGACAGACAGAGACAGACAGTCAGAGACAGAGAGAGAGAGACAGAGACAGGAGAGCACGACATATGAAGGCTCTGTGACTGCAATTGTTACCAAAACGAAAGCAATCAGGTGTGAGTCTTGCCACGTGAGGGTCCACAGTAGTTGTCAACACTCAGACGTATTAAATCTCAGATCTCAGACGTATTATATGATGTATACAACAGTGGGAAACTCGAAGGCAAAGTCCAAGACTAAGGAAGATGGACTTCGTGCACTTGGCCTGTAATTCGGGGTAATTTTCCGACTCTTGTGCTCTTAGAGAAGCTCTGTAATATGCCGCTTGAAGTCAGCAGTGGGAAATGGAGAGACCACACTCTCACATCATCTACCTTTCAGAAGTGACAGAACAGCAAGAGAAGGTGATGCGATGCAATGTATGAAAGAGGATTTGAATGCAATCAGCAATGAGGAGCTAAAACACCATAAGATCGACTCCATAAGATAAGAAAACACAATCGACTTGAGAATGGTTCAGGACGGACCGAAACGTCGTCGTCCCTTCACCTTCTAGTGTGTGGTCTGATCAACATACTTTAGCCACGTTATTGTGACTCATCGCCTGCACCATAAGATCCTCAGAATCTGTATGGTGCAATATACTAGATTAAAATTGTAGCTATATGAATATATTTATATTCATATATATATACATTTATATTCAGCTACCATAGACTCAGACAGACTATATGAAGGGGAGTACAGAGTGTGTCCCCATCTCGCAGGATGGTTAGTCATACAGGGCCATGTGTTTAGTAGCCGGCACTGGCAAATTTTGGGTTCACTGTGAGGATATCTTCAAGAATACGAGAATGAATAAAGTAATTGCAAAGCTCCAGGTACCTCATGCCAACTGATCTGAAAGGTCTAATAACTGGGCATTCAGTGATGTAGTGTGGGAGATCGTGCCGTAGTTCCTGCTCACAGAGTCTGCAACTGGAGTGCTCAGGATTGGGAGATCCGTCACCTGCAGCCACCTGCCACAGGTAACGGTAACCCAACCTGATCCTTGCAACCACTGTGTCGCACAGTCTAGTGGACGTTTAGTGCTGCCCATAGATATAGGTTTCAGATCTGAACAGATCATAGCTCTTTATACTAGTACTTTCAGGTCGTTGGGAGCCCAGAAATATTGAAATTAACCTCAATTGATCAACTCTCCGGGACCTGCACCGCACGTTTCACAACTCTTCACACTTTTTATCATTTAATTCAAACTTCAATGTATCACTTCCTCAAACTATTGTATTCAAATTATTTAAAAATATGATACTAATTAGTATTAATAATAATTAGTATACTATTATAATAATAATAATTATTATTATACTAATAATAATCATGAAATTAATATAAATATTCATTTATCAATAATATTCCAATGTTAAACCAGCATTCTATATATATATATATATATATATATATATATATATATATATATATATATATATATATATATATATATATATATATATATATATATATATTCAGTCCATCCTCCAATAATGAAAGTACTTTGATTAACGACGAGGTCGATATCGTACAGATATGGACGTGATGGACCAATAGAAAGTACACATTTTGTATTATTCAATTTGGACAAACCGGAAAATTGTGCTACCTATGTTGCTAACGAAACCTAACCTAACAATCCAAAGCCTGATACACATTATCTGAGGCCTGTTTAATACTCTCCAACACTATATCTGTGATTACCCTGTTATCAGTGATTTCAGACCAAATGGTATGAGGTACTTTAAGTTCGGTAATTACTTCATACACTCAGGAATATTGGAAGATATTCTTGTGCTGTACAGTGTGCTAGTGGAGGGTAATAGACCAGCCTTAAATTTTATGTTCTCTCCTGATTGCATGAATGACTAACCATTCTGTGGGATAAGGATATTAGAGGAACTTATAGCATTTTTTTTATCTACACTGTTTAATCTTTCATATAGAATAGGGGTAACAGCACATTACTGTGTATACCTAAGCTTGTTAATAGAGGACGACGACCGGGCCGCGGGGACGCTAAGCCCCGGAAGCACCACCTCAAGGTAGATGTTTTTATAAATGATTATTATTATTATTATTATTATTATTATTATTATTATTATTATTATTATTATTATTATTATTATTATTATTATTATTATTATTATTATTATTATTATTATTATTATTATTATTATTATTATTATCTTTGTAAGTTGTTGCGTAAATGCTTGATGAATCCTAGCCGCCCAGAGAAGTCCGCACAAGGTGGTGCTGTAGCTGCTCCTAACCCATCAACCACAACAACTTGTGCCAGGGTTGCCAGATTGCGCTACAAGTAGCGAATTGGGCTACTTTTGAGAGCCTACGCTCCCAAATTTTAAATTTCGCTACTTGCGACTTTTTGGGCTAGTTTAAACGCAAGTTGGGCTACTTTGGGCTATTAATATTAAGAAACTCAATGATGATTATTTATGCTTTAATAATATAATTTGTACAAATCACAGCCGAGTCCAACAGCCTGATTGACTAGACCACTTACCGCAGGAGAACCCTGGTCAGAGACCGGCCCCTGGGGGACGTTGATCCTAGGAACCTTTGAAAGAAAAAGTAACCGCAAGGCAAGGTAATCCTCCCCAGGGGCAATAGATTTCCCAACCTTAATTGCTAATAATACTTCATCCCAAAAGCTACACCTGGTTCCACAGATCTTCATTAAGGGGGAGAAAGTTATCTAGAAATTTACAGATTGATAAATGATGGGAAAGATCTCTTAGAGTTAATACCTTTGTCAGGAAGACGATGGTTGGCAAGGAGCGGTAGTGTAAAGCGGCCGTTTGATCAGTGGGGTTCTCTAACAACTCATTACCAAATAGCTTTTTCCTCTTGTGATAAATATGTTGCAAGGCAACTATTTTCAATGTACGCTGATCCCTCCAATAAGCTATATTTCACATGTCTCAAACCAATCCTAAATGATTTTGAATGGATGAATTTACTTTATCAAAAGATGAAGCAGATCAGAATAGCCTTCACACTGTCTTAGAAAACTTCACTCTTGGAATACTCAGAAGAATCTTTCGTCCTCATCATGCAAAGCTTCATGTTAATTTGGACTACAATTCTATGTATCTGCCCCTGGAGAAAGTGGACTTTGATTACGAATTTTCAACACTGGCCACTAACAGACAAAAGAATTTTACAACCCAGGAAAAGTTTCAAAATGTTCAAGAAAGATGCGATAATGTTTTAATGAAAGCTTGCAAATAGCTTCTTTCTCGTATTTTAAGTAATGTTGAAACTATAAAAAAGGTGAAAAATCTGTTACCTATCATATGCCTTAGTTTACATGGCCACCATTTTCCGAACTTCCGTTAGTATTAGCTGACCAATCTAAGCTTAGTGAAATTGAAAGTCAGTGGCGCCTACTGTTAACCACTGACTAGTCCAACATTTGTAAGGGACAAATTCCGACATCTGAATCGTCATTTTAGACCAAGACAATAACTGTCAAGAACACTGCTGGCGATCCCATACTGATTGACCTCGCTGAGTTCGTGTTGAAAATATACAGCTTGCTAATCAGTAATGCCCTGGTTGAACGGATATTTTCGAGAGTAACGTCTGTGAAAACTAAACTGAGAAATCTTGAATGGAAATGGGACTTGAGCTTTTGACATCAGTCTTGAGAATCAAAACATATCTTGAAGAAAATGTAACTTGTTGCTCGTCATTTGAACCACTCATGTCAATGCTTAAATATGAGTCTGCAATATACAAGACCGAGGTTGTGGATGCAGATCAAGATCTTGGTAATCTTCAACTGTAAAGACGTGGAAGGACTTCACACCCATTAAGCTTCAAACAGTAAATATTGGTAAGTTATCCTATTATCATATTGGTTAAATATGCAGAGATAATGTTAATAAAACAATTAAAATCGTTTAATATACTCTATATATCATAATAGACTACTTTGAAACCCGTATCAGTCACTAAACAAAAAATTGGGCTACTCTTATTACAAATTCGCTACTTTTAGACCGTCAGCTCGCTACTTTTAGCAATTTGAATCTGGCAACCCTGCCTTGTGCTGTAGCTGCCTCAGACCCCATTACAACAACAACAGCATGTGTGCTGATGTGTTGCGGCCCCCAACAGTATGGCTAGACGGCCGCTGCTACCGTGTGCTCAGCCCCCTCGCATCTACCACTACCGTCACCAACTATGTCGAGGAGGATTCCTATGGACTCGGTAAGAGTTAGTAGGCATGGTGCTGAGCCGCTCTCTGATGCCACACTACTAGGCCTAGTGATACTGTTTATTTAGGGATAAGTACATGCATACAAAATGGATCATCAGCAGAATGTTGGATTTCTAGATAGAGCAAGTATATGCTATGCCTAAAGCCACTAATACGCAGTGGGTATTCCTGATACAATAACACGAAGGTCTTACTAGTTGACACATATCATGGACAATGACTGGTAGAACACATAACAGGTGGTCAGCAATTCCTCACTCTGGGATGGCCACTGAGCATCCCACTGAATGTCAACTGTCTTCCCTGGTTGCCCGCTGCCTCGTAAGTGGACGAATCATCGGTGAGGGGAACATCCTCACATTATGACAATGCACTGTGCATGTGCAGAACTAGCCACTGCATTGGTGGGAATTCCAAATGTCTTTTCTTTGCAATCCAACACAGAAGAATTCCTCAACACTAACATTCTTCCAAAAAGGACTCCTGCCTTACAAATTATTCTGTAAAATAATTTTAGCTCCATATATAAACCTTTTAAAGTAACGGTAAGAGCTGAAAATAAAACCCTTTGTAGAAGTCAGATACTATCATTTCCCCACATTTGTTACCTTAATCTTTTTTGTCCCTAGGGGTGAAGAGTGTCTTCCCAGGTATGTTTGATTATTTGATTATTGTCACAATTAGTATAAAGCAGACTTTAGTGACCTTTTTATTTCCATGCTCTAAGGATGGGTTTCGATAGTTCATACTTTAGGGTATGGATTAGAAATTTGTGCCCTTACAAGGTCCATAGGACACTTACTTATAGGTAGTTACCTATTACCTAATATAAGTTCATAGAGTGCTGCAGTGTTTCTATGCAGGTCCATGAGGTACTGCATTATTTGTATATAGGTCCATGGGGCACTCCAGTATTTGGATCTGTACACATATACTGCTGTCTCATGCAGTGTTTGAATTCTACTGTATATTATTACATTATACTATATAGTACAGTATTACACTTGCATTATGATGAATTGTACCATATCTTAAATGTATTAAATTATTAGTTTGTTAACTTGACAGAAGATGCTGTGTACCAGGATGAGGTGGAATGTGGTGGTGAACAGGCAGAATTTGCTTGGGAGCAGCTCAATAATGGAAAGTTCCAAACTTCATTCCCCGTGGCAAAGTAAAGTAAAAATTCCGTCTTACTTTTTATTATTATTATATATACAGTACTGTATACTGATAATTTCTCCTCTTAAATTATTTTCATACATTTAGTTTACTTAAATTAATTCGGATTTCTAAAAAATTTTGGCAACTTTTTGGATCACTCTATATACCCCCTTAGGTATTTGCTCATAACTCAATCATCACAATAAGAACACTCATATGCAAGAGTTGAGATGATGGTGAAGGTTAGAGAAGAACTGTGAGCACATGAGGCACGAGTAGTGCTGAGGTAGAAGTGGCTGGGTTGATGAAGTGTTGGAGGGTAAGTGAGGGTGAAGTGGTGGAGAAGCAGAAGCAATGGCAAAAGGAAATTGCTGAAAATGAAAGGATGATAATACAGTACATGGATATAATAATAGTGGAATAAAGAAAATGAGATAACACAATATAACACAGAAATCTGTTGATTTCTGTGTTATGCCACTAGGTCATCAGTGCCTACTGTTGCTTCCTTGGGCAAGTCCCAGCTGACTTTATTTCTACTTAGTTTTGCATCATGAAAAGATGACTTGGGTAAGAAACTGAAGGGGGCCTTACTAAGAAATATAACACCAAAGGAAATTTAACTCTTCTTTCTGGGTACCGACTCGTTCACTCATAGTTTTAGTCCTTTATTTTCCTCCTCCAAAATCACTTTGGTGTTCTCGACCTAAAGTAAGGGGTTGCCACCTTTCCTGACCCAATTGTACTAGCTAGTGCTGTCATTTTGTGGCAAGTGATGTGAAAGGAAGTGATAGTTATGCACAAATATACAAGGACCGTGACGAGGGTTCGAACCTACGTCCGAGAGGATCCCAGATGCTGCCTTAATCGACTGAGCTATGACATGGCCCTTGTGGATTTGTTTATTTGATGCATCACGCTATTGTGATTTGTGTATGTAAAGATAGTTATGCAGTTTCAGAATGACCATTGCCTATCTTAGCAGCCCCAGTGATATTTTGGAGGAGGCATTTAGTGGTTTGATGTGACCTTTGGTGCCAATTTGAGCACTTTTTCTCAGTGGTGGATTGAGATATGTTCTCCACTGTGCTCCTTACATATTACAGTACTCCTAATAACCCAACCCTTGCATTTGAAATTTACGTGTTGACGTCTCAATCCGTCAATACGTTCATTTCATTCCACACATGTGGGTTTGATTATTTGTTCCGGCAACATTATTGTCAGTTATTTTTTACAGATATTACTCAACTTTCATGGCATTTATCATGTTTGGCACTGTTAAAAATTGAATAAATATCTACTATACCAATGTGATGTGTTTCAGCTGCTACATATCATACATCATTGGAGCAAAGGGAGCCACCAAGAAGAGGATAGAGAATGAAACTTACACGACCTTAAAATTCCCGGTGAAAGGCCAGTCAGGAGATGTTGGTAAGGCACCCGGCAGTAAAAGCTTATCAACATTATTTGCACACAGTCTGCTCTAGAAAACCTGGTTACCTTTAATCCTTTATTTTCTCATATTTGTTGCTTTTGTTAAAGTCAACCTCCATGTCATAAGCTGTAGTTTAACAAAATTTAAAAAGGATTCATGCATTATAAAATATTAATTTCCTGAGCTAGGTTAATTATATTATAATTAGATTTGATATTAATATTTTTTTATGTTAAGCCTTGCAATGCACATGGGGATCAAGCACTTGCACATCACAAGAATCAGGCATTATCTTGATGTGCATACACAAAACTATTTATTTATTTATTTATATATATACAAGAGGGTATATTGGATTTATGAGAATACATAGCATTGATGTTTTTACATTCTTGTAAATCTACTGACACCCATAACGTTTTGGGCAGGTCCTTAGTCTAACAGATAATTTTAAGTAGGTAATTTCTAACAAAATTGAGAAATGTTAACAGGGACATTGTAAAAAACAATGAAAAAGATTAGTAGGTACATTATAGTAAAATTTGAGGATTATCAACAGGTACATTGTAGCATAATTTGAGGATTATTTCTAGGTATAATGTAATAAAATATGTATTCAGTAAAACAACCATAATAAAAAATGAGAGCAGTGATTACAATGGTGAAGTTGAATGGCTTAGGCACACATATTGGGGGAGTGAGTAGCACAAGATACAGTGCGAGTTTAAGGCACTAGGTAGGAAACTATGAGGATGAAATTATGTACTTTTGGTTTTATTTTTGAATAAGGTGTAGGTTGGACAGCTTTTCAATTCGTTAGGGAGTGAGTTCCATAGACTAGGACCCTTTATTTACATAGTGTTTACACAAATTTAGTTTGACTGGGAATATCAAAGAGATATTTATTTCTGGTGTGGTGATTATGGGTTCAATTACATTTGTCAAGGAAGAGTTTCAGATCAGGATTTGTATTTAAGAACAGGGGTTTTGTAAATGCATATAGCACAAGAGAATGTGTGGAGTGAGTTTATGTTTAGCATGTTTAGGGATTTAAACAGGGGAGCTGAATGTTGTCTGAAAACAGAGTTTGTTATTGTTCTGATTGCAGATTTTTGCTGGTTGATGGTGGGCTTGAGGAAGTTTGAAGTGGTTGAAACCCATGCACAGATACTGTATGTGAGATAAGGATAGATTAGCACATAGTATAATGAGAAGAGAGCAGAGTTGGGAACATAATATCTGATTATAGAAAGTATACGAACTGTTTTTGAGACTTTCTTGGTTGTGTGTTGTACATGGGTGCTGAAGTCGAGTCTCTTTTCTATGCATAGGCCAAGGAACTTACCATCATTTTTATTGCTGGTGTTAACATTTTCTATCTGAAGCTGAAAAATACTCTATTCAATTCTATTCTATTCTGAAAAAAAAATAACTATTCAAGAAGTTATTTGTCATCTTTATTGTTAAAAACCATGCCAGAGCATAGGAAATTGTTAAATTAAACATGTTACATATTTTTTGTGTAGTGAAGCGATGAATTCGTGATTACTTATCATAAAATGTATAGCCCACGGGAGTCTCAAATGTTGTACGGGGTACCTAAAACTGTGTTAGCAAGATATAAGCATTTTAAGGGTTAATAAGTTATAAAATTTTAGTTATAAATATTAAGTAGTAAAAATTAAAGTTATGATGAGAGCTGATGAATCACGAGGAAAAAATGTAAATTATATTATTGTATTATTATTATTATTATTATTATTATTCTACTCTTAATTTGCCTTTGCTATACAAATTTTCTTTAGGACATGTCAAATTGCATAATTTTTATTCGTGCAGTTGTGATTGGTAAGGATTTGAAGACTGTTCGGCAGGCGCGCCTCAAGATGGAACTGTTAGTGGAGCAGGCGAGAAAAAAGCAGCCGTTTACCCATTTTCTTTGTATCCCTTTCAATAAACCAGCAATACAAGAAAAATATATAGAATTTAAGGTTTGTAAAAAAAAACTTAGTCTTGTTTGCAATAACATACTGTAGTTATGTTGTTTATTTGTTCTTTCATGTGTCATTGTGTAGTTAGTTATGTTCTTTCATTGTAGTACTGTAGCCTAGTTATATTGTTCAGTTGTTCTGTTTGTAGTAGTGTATTTGTTCTTTTTTTTCTTAGTTTTTCATAATGTAGGTGTTCTACATTGTTCCTTATAAATTTGTTAGTGTTGTTATGTTCTCTTTTGTTCTTATTTGTTGTAGTGTAGTTGTTTTCTCTTATTCATATTTGTTGGTATAGTTATATTGTGTCTCTCATTTTTGTTTAAGTTGTGTAAGCTCAATTTAGTTTAATAATTATTTACAATTAATATGAAGAGAACTGGTGTCTTAATTGTTTACTCTTAAACTAAACATGATCTGCTTATGCAAAATTTTCATTTGTTGTTTTCTAAATTAGTATATATCCCAAATTCTTACTCTATCATTTATGTTTGTACTTCCCAATATATTTCATACATAGTGCCCAATAGTTAGGAACATAAGAATAGAGGACACTGCAGAAGGCTCTTTGGCCCATTTGAGGAAACTTAGTTTTTTATAATTGTAATAAATGTCAAAAGCTCAAATGACAAATCTAGTGTATGGAATGGAATGAATGTAATGTAATTAAATGTCTCTTCAGGCAGCCTCGGTGGCTCCCTAAAGCTATCTCGTTGAGGTGACTGCCTACTACTGGGTCATATCATCTGCACATGTCCTGTTGCCCTATCAGGGACCAGAGCCAGAACCCTCACAGAGGCACATAGAGCAGGGCACTATTATTGTCACCTTCACCAGGAAAGCATCCAGAAAGTCAATGAAACTTTACACACAATTGCAAGGTTAATAGAAAATGGTGCAGTGAAATAGCCAGACGACTCCACAAACAATTCAGACTAACCAATTGGTTCACTCTAAACTAGGTCACACTCATTAGCAACAATATTGCCACCAGGCAGACCAGGATCCTGGCCCACAGCAGTCTCCAGTGACCAGTCCAAAGCTGATGGACAATGAACAGATGAACGTGGTTTTCTAGGAGGAGCTTCTTTGTGGCTCCCTGAAGCTAAATCACCACAGAAATAGGAAAACAAGGGACTTGCTATGGCAGAGGATTGAATGCAGGAACTGGATCAAAGAGGAGTCCCTGTCACACAAGACTGACAGGGGACCAAGGACATGAACCATATACTGGGCAGCCAGAACCCACCAGAACTCAAAACCCCCCCCAAGCCCTATTGGAAGCCCATGACATGCTGGTCAAATTTGCAGCCAACACTGCATAGATGCAAACACCAAGGGCCTGGAGGTATTAACCACAGACTGGTTAACTATGATGACACTGCTCACAACCAAAGGAAAACTATCCATGAAACTGGTACGAAAGAAAACAGGGCCAACCAACAAGGCATTTACTAAGGTAGAACTGGTGGTATGCAGGCAGTGGGGAAGTGCCACTGCCTGCATGAAGTGGTACTGCACTGCTGCATGCAAGTGCAGTGATGTAACCTAATGTACATGACCTAATGTAACCCAGTAGTAGGAAGACTTCAGGGAACCACCAAGAGGCACCTCCCAGAAAAGTTGTTTAGAATACCCATCATGGGATTAATGTTGGGTGCTAAAAGGCATGTATGTATTTATTATATAAATTTGAGCAAAAATTCTTAGCTCATGATTATATATCGAGTGTAAGTCATGACTTTAGGGTACTAAATTTCATACTAGTAATAGTTTGTATTGCTCATTCTGCTACAGAAGGAAGTGCTGGAGAAGTGTGGTAGCAGCCGTGGAGTTGATGAGTCGATTTTTCAGGAGCCTGCCAAATTGCATCTAACTTTGTGTGTCATGGTGTTAGCAGATGATCGTGAACGCTATCAAGCTCTGGATGCACTGGCTAATTGTCCAGAAAGTGTTCTAAAGTTAGTTGAGTCAAAAATGTGTTTCCTAGTCTCAAATTGGTGATGAGGAGGGATTGATTTTAATTATCATACTGTTGTACTCAAACTTTTAAAGAATGTTGTGTTAAAATGGAATAACATATCTGATGTAAAATATGCATGCAGTGCTTGGTGCAAAATATGGAATTATAATTATAGCCGCTGAAAATGACTTTCTGTAGCTGTTTTTATCATTTTTCATCGTAAATATTGTCATTATGTAATGAAAGCATATTTATTCACAGTACTGTGCACACAATATCATGGGAAAAGGGGGGTGTGCACACCAGCATCTCATGTTTGTTAGTATTCATGAGATTCAAAACTTTCATGGTACACAGGGCTAACATCATGTTCCTCGGGACTTCAGTAAACAGATGCCATCTTGACAAAAATTATCTGCAATTTTTTGCAGACAGAGGCGCAGGGAGTGATGGCCCATGAATCTGCCCGAAACGCTTTGCGTAATAGTGGCTTTAGGCATTGTATGTACTAGCTCTATCTATAAATCTATCAATTTTTGTAAAATCTCTTGTATGTATGTACCTTACCTGAATAAACATTTATTTATTTATTTATTTATTTATTTATTTATTTATTTAATACTTTACATTTAAAGTTTATCATCTTTGCCATCTTTGGCAAGCACCCAGAAAGATACGTGAATCAAAACAAACAACTACTGCATGATTTAAAATGAGACCTCAGCCCACAAAATGTCAAAAGAAATCCCCCAAAAGAAAACGGACAATCAAAACTTTGTCAAACCACCCCTTGCTAGTTAGCTCCACCTTCCTCCTCATTGGTGGGAGAAGGTAGCCGGGCTGACACCGGTCAGTTTTAGAATGATGTAAAACTGCTGACCAGAGAGAGGGCGTCAGGGAGCCTCCGGGGCTCACTCAGAAACTGGGTGAGCCCCAAATTTTCAGCCACATTATTGTGACTTATTTTCTGAACCTATAACAGTTATTTATCAGTTTATAGTGATATATACAGTAGTTGTAGGAAATGTAAAGTGGTATGTTGATAATTCAAGAAATTATTATTAGATGGGTTATTTATTTATTTATTTATTTATTTTTTCTTCAGGAAACACTTGGCTGGAGAAAAACTGCGTGTTGAGATGAAAGGCATCGAGTACATGAATGACGACCCAGGAGAAGTTGATGTTCTGTATGGCCGCATCAATGCCCTCAGCTGGACTCATTCATTACAGACTATTGCTGATTCTCTTGTAGATGAGTTTGTTAAAGCTGGTAAATACTGTACATTTAGTTTGCATTGTTTGACATGCTATTCAAGGAAATCTCAAACACCATTGTGTGTAATTTAGCAGTTACTATAAATATCCACTTATTCAGCATCCAGCATATCAGTGGTCTTGGGAACAGGACATCCATGCTTGTTAAGGGCACCAGCATTTTGCTTCTTTCAGTTGTATTTATATTGACCACTGATTTCTGGAGGGAGCCCCTTGTGGCTTCCTGAAGCTATCTATCTTCTTGAGATTTCTTCATAATAAAAAGTCACATCAGCCATGACTAATTCTGTTAGGCATATCAGGGACCAAAGCCAGAACCTGGCACATTCACAGAGGCACAGAGAGCAGGGGACAATCCGTCACCTCACCAGAAAAAGTCTCCAGGAAGTTTGCACAGAAGTTCATCTTCACAGAAAATGAAGCCTCAAAACTGGTAAACAACTTCGCAAACAATTCACACAGAATGGGAGTTCACCGAATCTAGCTAAAAATTCATTAGTACTTAGTGAGAGTAGGTGGGCTGAACGAGTGTATGCTTGTTTTGAGAGATTCAATCGTTTATCTACATTGTTGAGGGGAGTTCCTTTGGCAGTTTTTGAGACTTCAGTCTCTTTGAACCCAGTAGTATCCTAGAAAGAGGCATTTTCACTAAATTTGATGCTGGTGTTTTGGGCAACTGCAGTAGCCCCTCTATTCCCACCCTTCTTTCACCACCCCATTGGGGATCGAATATGTTTTGGGAGCAGCATGTGAATTAGGAAGCAGGTAGGCCTAGATCCATTGGTATCCTGAGCTGCTGTCTTATGGTGCACTTGGGTACTAGCATGTGGTTTGTTGACATTGGGCAATGACATTGGGCATTGGGCAACTTCCCTTGTTTTCAGCTTTTCTCTCTTTACTCAAGATATGCAGTTTAACTTCAACTGTACTTACTGGATAGTTTCTTCAAATATGAATCAGTCTCGCATCCAAATGTTCTCATTTGCCTTTATGAGCACCCCAGATTCTGGTTCAGTCTTTTGGTATATCACATGATTACAGAAGCTTGGTAGTTATGTTGATGTCTATAGTTCCAGAGTCATTGCACCATAAAGCCACTGAGGCTCCCAAAAAAGGGCTGTTCATTAAATTCAGCGCTTGATTTTAGTGTTCTCATAAATGCTTACAATTTCCTTTTTCTTTTGCCTATGTGAACTGAATGACATCAAATTTCTTTACATTATTTTCAACAGAAATATAATTACTGTACCGTGCTATAATGCCAAATTATTTCTGTCTTCCTTAAAGAAAATTCCAACAGCTGTACTGTGTAAATAATGAATTCATGTGATTTCAACAGGTGTGTTGAACCGACAACATGACAGGGTAAAGCTACATGTAACGTTGATGAACACATTGTTCCGCCATGATCGAGATGGTGTTACAGACTCCAAAGCTAGCAAGGACAGAGAGTCATTTTGTGCAAGGCAGATTTTGGAGGTTAGTGCATAATTGTTATATACAGTATTGTTATACTGGGAGGATGCATCACACAGTACACAAGACAGTTCTCCGCCAGATTTTAAAACCCACCTAACCTTATCCAACTTAATATAACCAAATCTAAACCAGCCTAACCTAACCCAACTGAGCCTAACACATCCTAACTGAAGCTAATACATCCTAATCTAATAATATATAGTTGTAAAAAACAGAAAATGTGGTTTGTTGAATTATCTTGTGCATTATTTGATCATACTGGGAGACATTGTGATTGTGTGGTGCTAAGCCATCATCAGACTAAATAATCTATATATATATCTATCAACATCAACGTAGTGCATATGATTACTTTAGAACTGAAAATACTGCATTTTGAAGTTGTGAACTTTGTCTATATTTGTATTCTAAAAATATGTCAAAGTTTGCAATAGGAGGACCTACTCTCCCACCTTTTCATTAATTTTGCGTTTATCTAATCAGATCAGTTTTAGGATCAGTTTTCAGTGCAGAAGAGTTTTTATGGTTAAGTGTTAAAGATAACAATTTTGCCACCATGGCCTATCAAATTCATTAAATGTCTGCCTTAATGGGTGTTTATGGTGTTGCTTAAACATCATGCAAGTCTGGATTGCATAGTTTTAGATTGCACCTAGATTGCAGTTTTACTATGATTAGTTTTTCAGGAGTTTGAGAATTATGAATTTGGCGAGATGGAGGTTGAAGAAATCCACTTATCCGTTCGCTATACTACAGCAAACAATGGATTTTACTCATCCTCGGGGAAGATTCCTGTCATACCAATTGCAGCTTCATAATTAATGCTGTTTGTAATTACAGCCTCTTTAAGTAATAAATAATATTGGGTTCATTTGAATATAACATGTTAAAGGATGTCAGTTCTGTATTTAAATTTTCTAGATTTTCTGAGGCATGATTGGGTTCCTCGTTTGGCTTTCAATAGCTTACTAATTTTAAACAGCCAGATGAATTATTAAATAAATGGTAGTTTATTATTTACAGCATAGTTAATCGACTCAATTTATAAATGTCATTAAACTTGAATGTGCAAGTGATTTTGAATGCAATTTATAACAATATTTTTGTGTTGTAAGTTATATAATAAACTAAGTGTAAAATTACAGTGAACATTATGAAAATGTTATTTTCCCAGCTAAAAAATTTACAAAAAGTATTTTCTTGGGCTGTATTTCTGCGTTTAACTTTTAAACAAGTACATATATTAACCTGCTTCTTTATTAGTTTCTTGGGGTGGGGAGGCATCAGGTTGGAGGACAGTCTGCAAGTAATAGAGCAAAAGAAGTATCAGATATGTAAATACGAAACCAGATGATGCATTGCAGGATGTATCAGGTTCATGATTGGATTTTTATCAAAAGGCATCTAGAAATAAGTCATTCATTACAGTGAATGACTGATTTTCATTCGTCAACCACCTCCCACTTGCAACTAAAGGATTAGAGGTTAAAAAAAAACTTGTTAGCTTGACTCTTTTTTAATTTGGTATTTTTTCTTGAATTTATAAACCTTGAAATTGTTTCAAGAAAGTTTATATTGAATCTAGATATTGTATAACTAATTTCATTAGTATGATGGGTTGTTTTTGGTGAGTGATGAATAAGCTGCAGCTTAGGTATATTATTTAGGTATGTTAAACTGTGCTAGCATGAGTGACAAAAAATCAAGAAAAATATGCCAACAGTGTGCATCTCTCTGACCAGAGATTAGAAATGTGTGGTGCAATGCACAAGAGTGTTGCAAAATTAAAACAATCATAATTTTTTGATGCAGCTCCATGTGAAATCTTGCTTCGGGTTGGGCCTAGATGCTCCAATGCTCCAGAACAATGAATGATACTGAATCAGAAAATAACAGCAATAGATCATAGGATACCTGGTCAACCAGACCATGATCCATATGGCAGGCTGTGAGCAGCTGCATGCAACAACCTGGTTGACCATATCAACCAGGAAGCCTGGTCAGAAACTGGGCCCTGGGTAGGGATGTTGATCCCCATGACCAACAAGAAGTAGGTACAGAGGGCATTAATTACATTTCCCATATGTATTCTGTATGGGAAAAGAACACAGAATTATGTGTATGCATACAAGTATCCCAATATACATATGGGTACCCATGCAATAAGAACCTGGCCCCCCCTTACATAGGCACAAGGATTGAGTGATAATTCACCACCACACTGGGTAATCATCCAGAAAGTTAGTGAAGCTAAATAACTGTAGGGTTCAGAGAAAACAAAGCATCAAAACTGCCAAACAACTCTGCAATGATTCAAATGAAATATTTGGGTCACTCAAAACTAGCTTAAACCTTTTGAAGTTAGTATCTAATAGATGCTACCAGGTGGTCCAGGGCCCCTTCTCACAGCTGGCCTTCCTGACTCTGGAGCTGATGAACAACCCACTGACAAACCTAGAAGGGAGGAGGAATCGGTAAGTCACCAAGGCTCTACCAGAAAGAGGCATTTCATTACATTCAACACAGTTTCTGGGGAAACCCCTTGGTGGCTCCCTGAAACTATATAGCCATGGAGAAAGAATACAGGAGACTTTCCAGGGAGGATGAGAGGTGGCAGGTACTAAGACGAAGAAGAGACCCTGGCCAGAAAACACTGCCCAGAGCAACACAAGACTGACCGAGACCCTGAATATTAATCATATACTGGGCCACCTGCACCCAGTTAGATTTCCAAAACCCTGAACAGAAGGAGAAGCCATAAACCAAGAAGAAGACAGAAGGGCAAGGATGCAGATGACCAAAAGGACATGTCATAGGCATGCCACCCCATGGAGATTGGACGGAAACAAGAAAGTCCATCCATGAAAATGCTGGACACTCCCAAAAAAGTGAATGGCAAAGAAAACCAAACCTTGAGAATCCAGAAGATGAAATATGTGCAGCGTCCAGCTCCACAGGGAAATGGACCAAACAGACCTCCCTCAGTTCAGGCAGTGAACCACTGGGAAGCAGTATGAATGAACTGGAATGCAGGAGGATACTAATCCTCCTTAGGGAATGCCACACAGCAGTAAACTTGCTCTTCATATTGTACACCCAACAGAATAGACCTGTCCAATAACCTTGGGCAGCCTGGCAACTGCTTGTCTGGAAGTTTCAGCACGAATCTCTAGCACTTTCAAACATATCAAGCGATGGGAGAGGATGGTGCCCAAAAAGCCAGAAGAGGAAGCTGACAAAGCAGCAGAGAAAGAAGGACAACAGGGCCCAAACCCGATGGTTGCAGCAGCTGTGAAAAAGGTTGAACCAGAAAAACTGGTACAGTACCCAGGGCCACACCATGCCCAGCAGAAAACTACACAAGCAAAGTTCATGCTACCATATAGCTGCTTGAGGAAATGCCGAGTCACCCAGAACTAATCCAACACTAAGCTGTGGCAGAGCCAAAGATGGAGCAAGGACAGCAGAGGGAGAAAAAGCAAAGCTGACTGAGAATCCCAAACAAGGCCAAGCCAAATCTGAACCTGGGACAAAACCAATTGGAACTTGTCAGTTTATCAGGAACCCAAACCCAGCAATAACCTTGCAAAGACATAGGGGAGAGCCAGATTCAGTCTAAAAGGAAGAACCTGTAAGTGGTAAGCTTGATGCCCTACCACAAAACCTGACCAATCTCTGAACCTCGGATGTACAGGGACATGTATATAAGCATTCTTGAGGTCAAGAGAAATAATTCAAGAGCCAGCCTCTGAGACCAGGCACACCAGAGCCAAAGTGACCATGCAACAGGTCAGACAGGGAATGAACTTGTTAAACCATGAGGGAGAATGAACTGGAATGTCACCAAGTCCCATTTAGGTACTGGGAAGAGATGGGACACCCAATGAAGAGATGTATTCTTTTCAGCCATGTTGGAAGCCAACCATTCCACAGTAACCTGATTGAGAAAAAGGAAGTGACGTGACCTGAGCGCCCCAACCCCCCCCCTAAGTAGGAGGCCAAATAACGTCACTAAAGACCATGGAAAAACGACTCGATAATCTTTCAAATCGTGGTACTAAAAGTCTGCAAACCTGGCCAGGAATCCTGCAAGAAAAGAACACTTTAAGGTGTAAGTATTTGAATACTAACATAAGTACTGGTATTCCAATTTCAGAGAAGTGATGTTTATGTCAGATTTTAAATATTTTTGAATTTCTGAACATCCAATGGAGAGTATGGCAATTTTGTTATGAAAAATAATACAATAATTATTATTATTATTATTATTATTATTATTTATTACAATATGTACAGTACATAAAATAATTGTATTTATTATATAACGAATAAAAATATTGATTATATACTATAATAATAATGATTATTATTATTATTATTTAAATCTTTTAACTTGTTTGCAAAAAAAGAATTTATTTTTCCAAATACTGTATGTTAAGAATAACAAATATTGGTGACCCCTGAGGTGGGAGACCTGCGCGCGCACACACACACACACACACACACACACACACACACACACACACACACACACACACACACACACACACACACACACACCGAGGGTTAACAACATATATTATATATATATATATATATATATATATATATATATATATATATATATATATATATATATATATATATATATATATATATATATATATATATATATAACTATTGGGTTAAGGATAGCATAGGCTAACATAAGACATTATATTTTGTTACATTGAAAAACTGTACATGAACCAGAAGACGTATGTGGCAGCCGTTCTTCTTTAACACAACAGACACGTGACAACGTTAAACACTAAATATTAAGAAAACCACAAAAATCGGCCACACTGGAGACATTTGTTTGTGTCATACAAGTAATTAGTGTGAGGGGACAAGGAGAGCAAACACGATAATCAAGACTGTCATTTTGTCCCGCCTTGTAGGGCACACTTAAGTAACATTAGTTGCTCGGTAAGTATTTTGCATATTCGATATGTATTCTGTATGGGAAAAGAACACAGAATTATGTGTATGCATACAAGTATCCCAATATACATAGGGGTACCCATGCAAATAGGTATCCCATTGTAAACTGTATAAGGGTGCCCCCATTGTAAACTGTATAAGGGTACTCCATTGTATACTGTATAAGGGTACCCCCATTGTATACTGTATAAGGGTACCCCCATTGTATACTGTATAAGGGTACCCCATTATATACATATACAGTATATTATACATTCAAATATCACATTATGCATACAGGCATCCCATCATACATTCTGGTATCCCATTATACATTTGGGTATCCCATCATGCTCTCATTAGTTACAAAAAAATTAATTAAAAAATCAATCAATTTGCTCTTACAAATATTTTTGTTGTTTAAATGTCTTGATGTCATTTAATAGTGCCCTGGACATTATACTGTTACGAATATGAAAATTTCAGCCCGGTCGCTTGAACTCCGTAATAAATCCAACCTCTGACTTAAAAGAACGTACAAACCCAAGCAACCCTCCTAATCTGTCGAGTCCTGTGCATAGAAAATGTGGATATTTGTAAGCTGTTACTCGGTACATTGCATTTGTAATGGGGGTTATAACTAAAATGAGAGAGATGGTGGGAGGGAGGATGAAGGTGGTGGGAGAGTGGGGAAGGTAGTGGGAGAGTAGGGAAGGAGGTGAGAGAGAAGGGAAGGTGGTTGGAGAGAGGGGAAGGTGCTGGGAGAGAGGGGGAAGGTAGTGGGAGAGTGGGGAAGGTGGCGGGGTAAGGTAGCAAGAGAGAGGGGGGGAAGCAAAGTATCATGGAAGGAAACTTCACCTGAGTGGACCGAGAAGCGTCTCTTTATAAGTCTTCGCCGCCATGGAAAAAGTAATCAGGTTTTAAATTGAGTCTGTGTGCCTCTTCTAAGGGAAGCCGCACAACAGGTAAATCCCGGGGCCTTCTCCAGAGGCCGGGAGATGCTGCTGATGCTGCGCCTCCAGGGCCCCCCTGATGCTGCGCCTCCAGGGCCCCCTGATGCTGTGCCTCCAGGACCCCTGATGCTGCACCTCCAGGGCCCCTGATGCTGCACCTCCAGGGCCCCTGATGCTGCACCTCCAGGGCCTCTGATGCTGTGCCTCCAGGGCCCCTGATGCTGCACCTCCAGGGCCCCTGATGCTGCACCTCCAGGGCCCCTGATGCTGCATCTCCAGGACCCCCTGATGCTGCATCTCCAGGACCCCTGATGCTGCGCCTCCAGGGCCCCCCTGATGCTGCGCCTCCAGGGCCCCTGATGCTGCGCCTCCAGGGCCCCCTGATGCTGCACCTCCAGGGCCCCTGATGCTGCATCTCCAGGACCCCCTGATGCTGCATCTCCAGGACCCCTGATGCTGCGCTTCCAGGGCCCCCCTGATGCTGCGCCTCCAGGGCCCCCCTGATGCTGTGCCTCCAGGGCCCCCCTGATGCTGTGCCTCCAGGGCCCCTGATGCTGTGCCTCCAGGGCCCCTGATGCTGTACCTCCAGGGCCCCTGATGCTGTACCTCCAGGGCCTCTGATGCTGCACCTCCAGGGCCTCTGATGCTGCACCTCCAGGGCCTCTGATGCTGCGCCTCCAGGGCCCCTGATGCTGTACCTCCAGGGCCTCTGATGCTGCACCTCCAGGGCCCCTGATGCTGCGTCTCTAGGGCCCCTGATGCTGCGCCTCCAGGACCCCTGATGCTGTGCCTCTAGGGCCCCTGATGCTGCATCTCCAGGACCCCCTGATGCTGCATCTCCAGGACCCCCTGATGCTGCATCTCCAGGACCCCTGATGCTGTGCCTCCAGGGCCCCTGATGCTGCTCCTCCAGGGCCCCTGATGCTGTGCCTCCAGGGCCCCTGATGCTGCACCTCCAGGGCCCCTGATGCTGTGCCTCCAGGGCCCCTGATGCTGTGCCTCCAAGGCCCCTGATGCTGCGCCTCCAGGGCCCCTGATGCTGTGCCTCCAGGGCCCCATTAATGCTGCATCTCCAGGACCCCCTGATGCTGCATCTCCAGGACCCCTGATGCTGCGCCTCCAGGGCCCCTGATGCTGCGCCTCCAGGGCCCCATAATGCTGTGCCTCCCTGACCCTAATGTTGCTGGTGTTGTAGGCATGATTAGTGGTTCTACGTGAATGTACTGCTTCCTTGAGATGGTCAATATCCCCGCGGCCCGGTCTCTGACCAGACCTCCTGGTTGCTAGTGTGGTCAACCAGGCTGTTAGACGCCGCTGCTCGCAGTCTGGTGTATAATGTTGTTCTCCACTGTATATCAGTTTGTTACACTAACCCAATGTACGTTCTTAATGAAACCATTCACCCATCTACCTATCCTTTCATCGACGTATCTACCTATCTACACATCTACACTTTTATTGAAGTATCTACACGTCTATCTATCTATCCTTTTAGCTACATATTTTCCTATCTACATGTTGTTCGTTGAAAATACTCATCTTTCTTGCTGGATGAACAGATGTATTAGGTGTAAGGAAACGTGCTCAAACGCTTCGACTCTCCTGCACGGGAAGCGAACCGGAGACGCTCCGGCTGAGCCAGTTTCTCGAATTGCATTACCATGCATCCCATTAATCAATCCACTCGCAGATTCAGCCATCTATCAAGCTATTTATCCATCCAGAGACTCGCCCCCTCCCCCTCACGTTAATCACCGACCCAGAGGGCAAAACGGCTCGAATAACGTTGAAACAACGTCGTTTGCCCAACATGTGACTGTCCTCTCGAAGAGTACATTGCATTTTGTATAAATAAACCCAACGGCAAATATATGATGTACTGTAAATCATGGCAGCTCGCAAGATAGACAGGTCTGTCATGTTTTGTGTTCATGGGGCCCCGCGGGCAGGTTAGCTTCGGGTAACTGAGTGCATCTCTTGTGGAGTTATGACAACTCGAGAGGACGGGCTGAAGGGAGGTCGAGAGAGGATCCTACTAACACTGTTGTGTTTACCACAAGCCAAGCTTCATAACAGCCCTCACGGACTTCTCCCGCTCACCGGCTTCCTATTATCTTCCCAGCCTGCCGTGGGGGTGTTGGTGTCTCAAGGTCCTCATCTGGTGTGGGCATATTGGGGGTGTTGGTGTCTCAAGGGCCTCGTCTGGTGTGGGCATATTGGGGGTGTTGGTGTCTCAAGGTCCTCGTCTGGTGTGGGCATATTGGGGGTGTTGGTGTCTCAAGGGCCTCGTCTGGTGTGGGCATATTGGGGGTGTTGGTGTCTCAAGGTCCTCGTCTGGTGTGGGCATATTGGGGGTGTTGGTGTCTCAAGGTCATCTGGTGTGGGCATATTGGGGGTGTTGGTGTCTCAAGGGCCTCATCTGGTGTGGGCATATTGGGGGTGTTGGTGTCTCAAGGGCCTCATCTGGTGTGGGCATATTGGGGGTGTTGGTGTCTCAAGGTCCTCATCTGGTGTGGGCATATTGGGGGTGTTGGTGTCTCAAGGGCCTCATCTGGTGTGGGCATATTGGGGGTGTTGGTGTCTCAAGGTCCTCATCTGGTGTGGGCATATTGGGGGTGTTGGTGTCTCAAGGTGGTGTGGGCATATTGGGGGTGTTGGTGTCTCAAGGTCCTCGTCTGGTGTGGGCATATTGGGGGTGTTGGGTCTCAAGGTCCTCGTCTGGTGTGGGCATATTGGGGGTGTTGGTGTCTCAAGGGCCTCGTCTGGTGTGGGCATATTGGGGGTGTTGGTGTCTCAAGGTCCTCATCTGGTGTGGGCATATTGGGGGTGTTGGTGTCTCAAGGTCCTCGTCTGGTGTGGGCATATTGGGGGTGTTGGTGTCTCAAGGTCCTCGTCTGGTGTGGGCATATTGGGGGTGTTGGTGTCTCAAGGGCCTCGTCTGGTGTGGGTATATTGGGGGTGTTGGTGTCTCAAGGGTGGAGCGAGGAGTACGAGGCTCAAGTGTATGTACAGGGCACAGTAGGAGGAATATTCCACTAATATAAGATAGAATATTTCAGGTTTAGGTCTGCGGTTCAGGTGTGGGACAGGTTCAGGTATTAGCGTGCTCAGTCGGAGCTCAGGTTAATGAAAGAAGAAATGTGTTCCCTCGCCCTCATCCTCAGCTGCGACAGGGTTGTGGGCGTCAAAGCCAGACTCGTAGGTGTGAGGGGCAATGTTGTGGGCGTAGGAGACTGCGTAGTGGGTGTGAGAGTCGTGGGCGAGAGAGACAAAGTCGCTGGTGGAAGAGATAATCCAGTAGAAGCGAAAGACAGACTCGCGGGCTGCAGAGACAGATTCGCGGGCGGCAGAGACAGACTCGCGGACGGCAGAGACAGACTCGCGGACGGCAGAGACAGACTGGCGGACGGCAGAGACAGACTCGCGGACGGCAGAGACAGACTCGCGGACGGCAGAGACAGACTCGCGGGCGTAAAGGAAAGCGTCGTGGGCGTGAGACTGAGGCTGCTGGAAGAGAAGGCCGGAGCGAAGGACTGAGTAAGTATGGGCGGCTTCTCATCCTCGTGCAGTTCCAGATCCGACGCCCGCACGCCCAGGTAGTAAGGGCTGGAGAGGATGGGTGGCGAGGACGCGGGTGGCGAGGGCGTGGTGGGCGGCGGAGGCGTGGAGAACGTGGAGGTGAAGGTCGACGTCCACTCCATGCTGAGATACGGCAGGGATGACACTGGCGGCGACGACGACCCTGTCGACACAACCACATACAAGGTCATTACGAGTCAATGAAGTCTTTACTGGCTTAGCAAGTTGGGGTCCAGGAGCTAGGAGCTCGATCCTGCAGGCACAAATAGGTAAAATACAAGTCTCTTCAATTAAAAACAAAAATATATAAATATAAAGTACCTTTAAAATACATTCTAGTTATTAATTAAGGTTCAAATTCCACTACTGGATCAAATCTCGCAAGTTCAGCCCAGCCAAGTGTTTGATGTCGGCCTTGCTAATTGCATTATGGGATCTGTTAATTATCCCGCCAAAACTGTGCTCTGCGGATCACGTGACTGCCGCTGCCAGCGCTCATTGGCTAGTGTGTGACGTCAAGCGCCGTGTTTAATTAACTGATGCATTAATGCTAATCTTTCATTGGTTGAGGATTTGTCTTACTACTTGATGAGGCCTGTCAGTGAGCAGCGGTGCCTGTGATGGACGGCCCGAGGACCTGAAGGTCCAAGCTCATGGGACTCGCTGGTGATGCTTCCCGTGTGTTTGGTGTAGTACCCACTATTACCACTCACTGCGGTACTCTTGCTGGGGAGTTGGGCCGAGCCCCCGCCCTGGAAACTAATATAGCGTCCTTGAGGCACCTGTAGGCGCATCTGACTGCTCAAAGAGAATTGTAGCTAGAAAACCTTTAATGATATAAGTGTGCGCATCGCATGATCTGCCACGACGCGCTCTCAGGCACGGCCACTACATGCTCTACGGCACAGCTTCAAGGTGACCATATACAGCTGACCCAGTGGTCTTTCGAGGTCCATTGAAGGTTGAAAGGCGGGACCCCAAGAGCTGAAGCACAGCTATGTGAGTACACAGACATAGCCGGACACCCCACAAGCGCCTCCACCGACCCCCTCCCCCACCCCGTCCCAGCTCTTGCTAGGCTTCGCCACGCCCCTAGATCATCACTGTTTCACGACCACGGGCCGCTACAGGCCGCCACGGGCCGCTACGTGCAATAGTTGCTACGCACACGGATTGCCACGAACACAATGCTGCCATGTAAATAGACATTCATAAACAAGCAATACACGGACGTTCGCAAATAATGACTATTGCATTTGACATGGTGTTTAGGACAAAGGTTGGCGGTGGCTCTTGTGGAGCGACGACTGGCTGTACCAGGGTCACCAAAATACAAGAAAAAAATAATGTTGGTTAGACAATCTTCCTAGATTGTTAATAAACATTTGACAGTCCCTCGTCCCTCAAACACTGACCAAATGCAGTGTTTCTTTAGTCATTTCAACTTATTTCTGCAGCTTCAACACCGGCTTTTAATAATAAAATTATTAAAGCAGCAGAAATAATTTGAAATAACTGGGGAAACACTGGATTTGGTCAGGGACAGCTTGCAGGACAGAAAATCAAGAGTCGCAGGCAGAGAGGCGCCGAGCTTAGAGCAATGCGAGTTTTTTCTAATTAAGACGCAACAAGTACATCAAGGCTAGACGGTGAGGCATAGAGCTAGACCACTCTTCCCCATAGCCACTGTTAGGGAAAATAAACACACACACACACATGGTTAATAAGTCAACATGTCAATTAGACCCGCAGGAACGAGAAACTGATGACCCCCAGTCAGACTTGACATGATAATGTTAACTGAACGTGTCGGACATAAGGAAAGTCACCTTCGAACCCCTCACTGGAAAACAAGAAGCCGAAAGAACCGTACTGACATCTTAGTGTCTGTAAGGAGTAGGAGCCGCTTGGGCAAGGTATCAGGACACAGAATGACTTACAGAAGAAGGAAATTAATTGAAAATTCAGATATTTCATATCGTAAGTACCACAGAACACACAACGTGGCGTCAAAGCTACTCAAGAAATGATCGCATTCCTCACCCTTGAAAACTATCGGGAAGAAACCGACAAATTTGTTCAGTATATGTGTAGTGGATGAATTTGTGTTTTATTTATATATACAAGAGTTGTTACATTCTTGTACAGCCACTAGCACGCATAGTGTTTCAAGCAGGTCCATAATCTTAATCTTTCAGCGGAATACGACCCGCCAAATCGTTTAACAACCAGGTACCCATTCACTGCTGGGTGAATGGCAGAGGCGTACAGTTAAGGATTGCGCACAGTCAATCCAGGATACGAACCCTGTCCTTATAGTTCGCGAAGCTTGGGGCGAGTTCCCCTGCGCCACGGGAATGGATGGAATGATTCCGTGTACGTGTCGTGGATAGATAGATGGAATGGTTCAATATACGTCTAGTAGATGGATAGATGGAATGGTTCTTAAGAAGAGGTAATTGAGGGAGAGACAACAACCAAATCAGAAGTGACAATATCATAATAAGACCTTAACAACTTCGCTCGGGATGTGAAAGAGGCAGCGGACCCCAAGAGATGTTCCTCCGCGCCTCCGAGCACTCCTGCCTGACATCTATTACCCAGGTACAAACAAGAGCCAAAGGTGCCACACTCACCTGCCGGAACAACTCACCGAAGGTCAAGTGTTGTGAGGGCGTGGGCGGCTGGGTGGTGGTGGTGGGCGGCGGCGGCGTGCTGGGCGTGGTCTCCGATGGTGACGTCACTTCTGGGGGCGTGGCCACTCCTGATTTGCCGAAGAAAAGCGGGAAGGAGGAAGGGTCGAAGGTGGGGCGGAAGTGGATGGAATGGGGGTCACGGAAAGGATCAGCAAGAAAGGAAAGGGATCAAAACAAATGAATTAGGAACATAAATTAAAAGGTATTACTTCGCCCTGACCAGTCTACGTCCTCTCTATCTCCGCCTCTATCCCTCGACCTGTACTACACACTCCCTATCCCACGACCTGTACTACACCTTCCCTATCCCACGACCTGTCCTACACACTCCCTATCCCACGACCTGTCCTACACACTTCCTATCCCACGACCTGTACTACACCTTCCCTATCCCACGACCTGTACTACACACTCCCTATCCCACGACCTGTCCTACACACTCCCTATCCCACGACCTGTACTACACCTTCCCTATCCCACGACCTGTCCTACACACTTCCTATCCCACGACCTGTACTACACCTTCCCTATCTCACGACCTGTACTACACCTTCCCTATCCCACGACCTGTACTACACCTTCCCTATCCCACGACCTGTCCTACACACTCCCTATCCCACGACCTGTACTACACCTTCCCTATCCCATGACCGATATTTGCTATATCTATGCATAATAAAGTGTCACAGGTTTACAGTGTAAAGTGTGAAGGTTCACGGGCTCGCCATAGCCCGTGCTACAGGAACATTTTGTTCTGAGTAGCTAAATCTAAAACAACAACAACGTGTCCCACACCCTCTAACTACACTACTTATGCGTGAGTGCATGTCAAAGACTGAGCCAACTGTGCCACGGAGTCCCACAGTAAGAAGGCAGGTGACCAGCCTGGGCTTTGAACACACACAGACAAAACACACAGAGATCACACTAACGTGATGCATCAAATGAACAAATCCACAAGGGCTGTGACGAGGATTCGAACCTGCATCGGGAGCATCATGCTCCCGATGCAGGTTCGAATCCTCGTCACGGCCCTTGTGGATTTGTTCACACAGACAAACGTACAGTGTAAGTATAGACACACACAGACAAGTACACACATGGAGACAAGGCGTGAGGTAATTATGAGGAGGAAGCGCTCATCCGGCACAGAACACGGTTGATTGAGAGTTGAGAGGCGGTACCAAAGAGCCTATGTTCAACCCCCTGCAAGCCTAACTAAGGGAGTTCACAGCAGCTGGAGGAGCGAGGCTGCTCACCTGTCATGGGCTCCATCACCACCTGGCTGGTGATCTGAGGGGAGGTGACAGCTGGAGCCAGCGTTGTGCCGTGTTGATGTTGCTGCTGTACTACGCCCGTCCCTTGCACGCCCGCGCCCTGCAGGCCCATACTCTGTACGCCCGCGCCCTGCATGCCCACGCCTTGTTGCCCAACGACCGCCGCTACTGCCGCCGCCGCCGCCTCCTGGTGCTTGGCTGCCAGCTTCTCCTGCTTCCGCCACTTGGCTCGCCGGTTCTGGAACCACACCTGCAAGAGGACGGGGTGAGACGGGGAGGAGGGGGGAGAGACGGTGACAGGGAGGAGAGAGAAACACTCTGTGTAGCCGAGAGAGGTGATGAGATAGGAAGAGTGTACCGGGACCAGGTTTGAGACAGACACTGTCAAACTTCCATATACCCATATCGCAGACATGGCGTCAAGCGTGTTGACAAAGATCTTCCACACTACACAGTCAGCCAGTCCCGCTGACCCAGGAATGAGTATGAAAGATCACACAGACAAAACTCAGCCAGTCCGAAGGTTAATCCAACTACTAAATGTAAATCATAGAATAGAACCAGTACGGGAATGTTGATTAAATAGGTCAGCTTATATTTATTATTATATTCGAGGGCCTCACCTGCACTCTGGCCTCCGTCAAGTCAATCCTGAGAGCGAGTTCCTCCCGGAAGAAGACATCAGGGTAGTGGGTCCTGTGGAAGGCGCGCTCAAGTTCCTCCAGTTGGAAGTTGGTGAAGGTGGTCCTGTAGGAGAGAAGCACGCCAGGAGGGTGAGCGGGAAAGTTACCTCGAGGTGCTTTACCTTGAGGGAGGTGTTTTCGGGGCTTAGCGTCTCCGCGGCCCGGTCGTCGACTAGGCCTCCTTGTTTCCGCTCCTTGGGAAGCTGTGTTATGCTCCTGTGTGAGCCACTACCCACGCTCAAGACACCAGGGTGAGCGGGAAGCTGTGTTACGCTCCGCCGTGTGGGTCAACACCCACGCTCAAGACACCCACGACACCTCTACCCATCCGGGTTTCCCTCCAGGTAACTTATTTTAGTTATAGACACTAATACAATTGTAAATTCACACTCAAGTCTACATGCGCAACTTTGAACATTTTGTATTACAGGCAAATCAGAAACCTTGAAAGGAGTACAGAATACAAGATTCAAGAACACCGGTATTCTTCAGAACACCGGTGATGGTATTCTTCAGAACACCGGTGATGGTATCCTTCAGAACACCGGTGATGGTATTCTTCAGAACACCGGTGATGGTATTCTTCAGAACACCGGTGATGGTATCCTTCAGAACACCGGTGATGGTATCCTTCAGAACACCGGTGATGGTATTCTTCAGAACACCGGTGATGGTATTCTTCAGAACACCGGTGATGGTATCCTTCAGAACACCGGAGCTGCCATGCGTGCTCCGTCCTCGCAGCCCCTTATTAAGGCAAGCGAAATTGCAGAGGTAGAAAATGTTCCAAGAACCTTTACTTCCTGCAGAGAATGAGTGAAGCAATGATGACCAAACCACACATCACAAGATGAAGAAACGACGACGTTTCGGTCCGTCTTGGACCATTATCAAGTCGTGTCTTATCGTCAGCCACGTACAGAAACACCGCAAGGTAAGGTTATTGTGACTCATCGTCTGCAATCAGTGAAACGCCTTAACTACCGGAACCGTCTAAAAGCACTGTTCTCCTTGGAACGGAGACGAGATATATATCTGAGTATTTAGTAGTAGGCATCCATCAGTCTCAGGAGACTATGGAGTTGCGCTCTGGTTGTCGGTCTGGAGTGGCCTCACCAGGCCACTCCAGACCGACGGTCCTCTGACTATATACACAGGAAAAATACCAGATGATTAGGTTTCAAACTTGCACAGTGCAGGTTTGTGCAGGCCTCCCTTCAAATACATATTGAAGGGAGAGATATGGTAGGAAGTGTAGAAGAAATCCAACGAAAAGTTCTCGTACCATAAATACACTTAGAGAATACAGTGTAAACATCAGAGGACCATCATAACCCTGCTGTTAACATATAAACAAATATCACAGAAAGAATCTGAAGAGGTTTCTGCTTAAGTTACCGGATTAGCCTGGCTGTGATGGCCGTGTGGCCGTGCGGGCTACGAACACAAACAGCTTCAGACCAGACAATTACCAGGCAAGGTTAAAGTCAAGAGACATCAGGAAGACATTTTTCAGTGTTACAGCTGTCAATAAATGGAATAGGTTAGATGCAGAAGTTATTGAAGCTAATTCGATTCAGAACTGTAAACGTAATTATGATAAAAGCGCAAGAAATGAGTCATTCCGTAAATCTAAGAACGTTCGGAGGTCGGGGCTAAGAGGCAGCTGGGCTCTACAAGCACATCAAGGTGAATGCACACACTTGTAGAAGAGTGTTGTATCTCATGCTACTAGGAATGCATAGGAGCCTGACACACTGATCTGGGACTGGATGACTTCAAGAGAGCTAAACACCTGCAGACACACACCTGTAGCGGCGTTGTTTCCTCTTGAGGGCCCCGCTGGTGAGGCTGGTGAAGGAGACGGGGCTGGAGGCGTGGGTCGGGGAGGCGCCGCCCCCGCTCGACGTGGGCGTGCCGCTCATGGGCGCCCCGATGGAGAAGGAATGGCCGGTGTGGTGATGGTGCTGGTGGGGGTTGAGGTGGGCGTGGTGGTGGTGGGGGTGATGGTGGTGGGCGGTAAGGGGAGATCCCAAGGTGATGGAGATGCCTGAGGGCGTGGTCATGCTGCTGCCCGCCATGTCTCCACACTCAGGATACCCTGTCAGGACACATCACGCCTCAGTAACTAACGCGTGACACACATATACTCCGCAACACTTCATTAAGTCTAGGGCAGGGGTGGTGAACCTATGGCACGCGTGCCTAGCGTGGCATGCAGTGCCACCCCCTTAATTGTTTAAATCCCGCCTATAATAAGTGTATATAAAGATAACAATTACTGGCAAATGAAGCAGCGAGCGAGGAAAACATTCAGTCTTCATATACAATCTTCGGGCATCATTGATTCAAATTTATAAAGTGTGAGGACAGTGTAATACCGGATAAACTGAACTTGGAAATGATGTAGTGGATTGAGTGATAATTTTGAGATGCAATTGATTTTCAAATTTACCTCCAAGTTTACTTACTTTTGTCTCCAAAATACTAAATTTGGAGGTCAAAAATGATAACGTCTGTTATGATTTCAAAATAATTTCTGCACTTTTCCCTTCACCTGTGTCTCTCCATCTTTTATACCCCCCCCCCCCCTCTCCCTCCCCAAAACAAAAGAAGTGGTAGCAATAGTTGTTGTAGTAGTATATATTATTATTATTATTACTACTAGTAGTAGTAGTATTATACATTATTATTATTATTATGAGTAGGAATAGTTGTGGTTTCATGACTAACATTAACACTACTACTAAAACTATTAATTATAATACAAATAATACAAAATAGTAATAATAAGATATCAATAGAAGGATGAACAAGTTTCGGGCGATGGCGGCGGCGGCGCCGAAGGCCACGGAGGCGGCGGCGGTGGCGACGAAGGCCATGGCGGCGGCGGCGGCGGCGGCGGGGGCGCGGGCCGGTAACCAAGTTAGCGTAATAGCGGTCATTGAGTTAGGGTAAACGATTTAGTCAGCCTGGCTCCGTATATAAGATGCGGCCACCTACCGCCCGGTAAACACTGACTTCTTCATACACCTCTTTCACTCTCCGCCGTCGCCGCCTCCTCCAGCGCCTGCTACACCGCCGCCTGTCCTCGTGTCAAGGACAAGCAAGAATCTAATATCGCCATTAATACAGTAATCCAGATATGCCAATGGTGACATTTCTCTACTTATTTCAGTTTCAATTTCAACGAGCTGGGAGCTTCCTCGCTTGAACCCTTAATGAAAGGAGAATAAGATTGTTGTACTAGTGAGCCCAGTGTATAGTGTGTCAGTAAGTGCTGATTGTGTAGACATTTGTATACCAAAAGAAGATGGCCGCTAGCTCAGACGAGGTAAACCACTCTGGTACTGAAAGAGGCTGTGAGCGCTCCAGTGGACATTAGAGCAAAGATGGTGATGCAGCCTTGTTGTGCAGAACATTGGCTTGAAGACCTGTGAAGCAGCGTGTTGTGAGGAAGGTGAGTATGTCCACGCTACTTGCTACACTCATGCCCGGCTCTCAAACACCACACTACACTGCTCTTATTCTACACCTTCCCTGGAATTGACAGGGGTAGATAAGGATGGATTATTTAACACGGGTGGTACACGCACAAGGGGACACAGGTGGAAGCTGTGTACCTAAATATGAGCCACAGGGAAGTTAGAAAGAACTTTTTCAGTGTCAGAGCAGCTAGTAAATAGAATGCACTAGGCAGTGATGTGGTGGAGGCTGACTCCATACACAGTTTCAATTGTAGATATGATAGAGCTCGAGAAGCTCAGGAATCTGTACACCAGTAGATTGACGATTGAGAGGCGGGACCAAAGAGCCAAACCTCAACCCTCGCAAGCACAATTAGGTGAGTACACCCCCTCCACACACCACCCTCCTCCCCCAATCCCTCCCTCCATCACCTTCCTCCCCCTCCTCTTCCCCACCAGTACCACCCACCCTCCCTATCTCACCACATTCCTCCCCCACTACTACCCTACTCTCTGCCCTGGCCCCAATAAGCCTTCTACACATTTCTTAATGCATTTGTTAAACAAGTGAGTGTCGCAGGGCAGGACTCCGGCGTGCTCGCCAACACAGGAGTTACAAATGTAAACATGTTCCAATAATGGAGCCATTTACACATAACCAAATTAAAAGAAATAAAGTTTTAATCGAAAAAAATAACTTATAAAATATTCTAACTTTACAGTTCCTTAACTGAAAATTAAAACACAAATATAAAGCTAAAGTTACAAATCCCAGACTTCAAATTCAAATATAAAGCCTAAAATGAACCCAAATTATAGAGCAACACTGTCAGGGAGCTGCGTGACGTCACGGACTCTCCGCATGTGGTGAAAGGTGAGCCTGCCCCCAGGAGTAGAGTCTGGCCCCCAGGAGTAGAGTCTGGCCCCTAGGAGTAGAGTCTGGCCCCCAGGAGTAGAGTCTGGCCCCCAGGAGTAGAGTCTGGCCCCTAGGAGTAGAGTCTAGCCCCCAGGAGTAGAGTCTGGCCCCCAGGAGTAGAGTCTGGCCCCTAGGAGTAGAGTCTGGCCCCCAGGAGTAGAGTCTGGCCCCCAGGAGTAGAGTCT